TGGACGTCCTTCCTGACGAAGCCGGGGCCAGAGGGAAGCTGGTGCTGGCAGCCGGGGGAAAGGAAGGCCTACTCTTGCACGAATTTTTGTGCATCAGGCCTCTAGTGTGTGTGTGTGTGTGTGTGTGTGTGTGTGTGTGTATTTAATGATTTCAGAGAAAGGAAGGGAGAGGGAGAAAGATAGAAACATTAATGATGAGAATCTCGATCAGCTGCCTCCTGCATGCCCCCTACTGGGGATCAAGCCCAAAACCCGGGCATGTGCCCTGACCGGGAACTGAACCATGATCTTGGTTTGATTGGTCGACACTCAACCATTGAGCCACATGGCTAGGCAAGGCAAGGCACTTCTTAAAAATCCACACTCCCAGGCCCCTCCCAGAACCCTGACCCAGAATCTCTGGGGGGTGGGCAGGAGGCTAGGTGGGCCCCACCTGGGGAGGTGGGACCCGAGTGGTTATCGCCTCCTCCTCCTCTGTTGGGAAGTCCTGGTTGTACTTGTCTGTCACGTCTGCTGTGACAGGGCCCAAGTCCACTCACTCCCTCCCTGAACCACAGCCCCCCAGCCCCCCAGCAGAGGCTGGTCTTGGCCTGAGCTCTGCTCACCTTCTGCCTCCTGGAGGTGGCACATCTCCTGTCCTGGGCCCCCTCTGGCCATGGCGCTACGGCCACCCCACCCACAAGAGGCGCTGCCCTCGGAGTCCCCTCCATCCTCGGCCCAAGCTGTGGGTCTGTGCCAGGAAAGGCCCCAAGGGACAGTTCACAGGGTGCCTGTGACCAGTACCACGGGCCCTTCTGATTTCTATAATCCAGGTGGTGGTTCTGCTCATCTCATTCTGTCCTTATTTCAGCAAATAGTGGCCGAGCACCTTTTGGGAAAGGGCAGTCAGTGGGGCCCGTCCCAGCACAGCAGGCTGGCCTGCCCCTCCCGGGGGGCCTGCTCCTGAGCCGCGAGCCAGCCTGGGGCGCGGTACCCGGCCCTCACAGACAGCCCGGCCTCCCCCGCTGCTGGCCAAGACCAGGGACAGGAGGAAAAGCCATTCAGCCTCTGGACTCCACACAGACGCTAACGGGTTCCCCACACACGGGGCCCTGGAGGCTGCAGCTGGCTCTGTCACAGGCCCTGTCAGAGCGACGATAACGATGATAACTGTCTCCCTTCAGAGGCCGGAGGGGCCGGTCCCGGCTCCAGGGCGTGAGGCCAGTGTTTGGGGACAGTCCCTGGGGCCACATTATGGCCCCCCGGGCGAGGCTGGGGGACAGCTCCCCTGCCAGCCTGCCAAGGGCTGGGCCACTTCCTCTGCGTGGGAGGGTGGCGGCTTCCAAGATTACTTTTGGGATAAAACACCTACAAATGCTTCCAGCTCCCCCATCCGCCTCCCTCTTCTGGCTGTTGGGAAGGTGAGCTTCAAAACTGCAGCTTCTCCACCGAAATATTTAACTGCTAAGCGCAGCAGCGCTGCTGGGACTCATTACAAAACCATTCATTTGACTTCATGTCAATACCCACACTCCCACCCCTCCCGGCCCATCCGTCTTACTTGCATCACCCCCTGCCCCTTCCTCATCCGAGCACATCCGACCCTTCTCCACGGGAAATGCCAGCGGCCAGAGCAGGCCCCCGACAGCCCAGTGCCACCCCTGAGGCAGGACTCGAAGTGCCGGGCACACGCTGGGTTGACGGTGCCAGCCCTGCTCTGCTGCGCTGTCCATAGCGTGGGCCCGAGCTGCCTGGCCACTCGGGGGTCACGGACCTGAGGCTGGTCAGAGGAGCCTGGTTCCTCTGGGAGAGCCAGTGTCACGGCCCCGGGGCACTTGGCTGACACCGTGACCCAGAACGGCAGGCAGCACGGGCAGCACCCGCGGTGATCCGGTCCGGGCTGCGCTAGGCTGCTCGGCACCGCAGGGTCCCAAGAAGGGTGCACTGAGGCTGTCCTGGCCTCGGCAGCTTTGTCCCAGGAGGGTCACAGGCAAACGGGGGTCAGGGAGGGGGTCAGGCTGCCCTCCCACCAACCACAGGCTGGGCTCCCGCTGCCACAGGCCCTGTCCCTGTGTTCATGGTCACTGGTGGGGTAGTGACCACCTGGGCCAGGCCACGTGCCCCTGAAGGTCAGCACTGTCTGGCCTCCGACGTCAGCTGCCTTTGGGAATCCTCAGGAAACCAGGCCAGGCCTGACCGGGGGCCCTGACTTCCAGGCCGGCTCCTGGCAGGACCCAGAGGAAGACATTCCAATTGGCCAGCCAGACTTGGGTGCAGTGTCTGCCAGGAGGACACTGAGGGCTGCGAGTGGGCGTAGCGACGCCAGGAAGAGCAGGCAGGTGCTGGCAGGGAGGCAGGCACGGTGGGCGGGAGGCCGGGGCCGAGGCAGCATCTCCTAACCTCCTTTGGGTGCCGTGACCCGGGGAGAGAGGCCCCGCCCAGGCTGCTGTGCAGAGGGAAGAAGACACGCTCTGGGCAGCACCCGGCCTAGGGGAAGCGGCCCACGTGCAACCCCCGCCCGGCCCCTCCTGCAGGAGAGCGAGAGGGTCCCTGGGAGGCAGGTCCCACAGGTCCTGCTGGGTGGACACTCGGGCCAGGCTATTCCTTCCCCCGTTTTCAATAAAATCTACGGAGGACTTAGCATGTGACACGAGAGGGCGGCCACAGGAAAGAGATGGATGTGAGGGGACAAAGACACCCCCAACCTAAAAGCAAACCCAGTGCAGGGGCCAAGGGAACTATGGGGTGTGGGTGGGTGAAGTCACAGGATTTCCCAGATTTGAAATGTGGAGGTGGCCACTGGCCTGGGCCAGGGCAGCAGGGGTGGCCGGTAGGACAGGAGGGACAGCACAGAGAGGGCGGCACTGGGCTCCTCCCCCCCGCCTCCCCTTCAGGTGGCACCTTGTGTCGATTACTTTGGTTTAGGCTGCAAAGTACTTCAGGGTGCACTTGGGCTGGGGGATGAACCAGTAGGGGAGGGTCAGTTGATGAGGGACTGGTGGAGGAGTTGGGACCTGGGACAGGTACAGGTGCGGGTGAGGCCTGGGACAGGGCTCAGTGTCCTTGACAGCTGTTCTGAGATTCCCCAGAGCCGGGGGCTCCCTGAGAAGGAAGCAAGGCGGTGAGGATGAGGATGAATTTGGGCCAAGGACAGGGGGTTGCCTGCATGAGGAACAGATGGAGGGGGCCTCAGGGGACACCATCCTGGGACAGGGGCCGGTTAGACGCCTGGGCGGGCGGGGGTGGGGGGTTGAATTCAGGGCCAGAGGAGGTTCCCAGGACCCTGACCATCCCTCAGCCACCAGCCCAGCGCCTGCTGGCTTTCAAAGGAATGCTTCTGATGTTCTCATGACCTGGGCTTTCCCAGTTCCGTGAGATTAAGATAGAAAGCTGCGGTTTGCAGTAAGCTGTCCAGTTACAAGACGGACATTCCATCCTGCATTTTGATGGGGCGATTCTCACAGGCCTCCAGGGGCTCGGATGAGCCGCTGCTCTGGGAAATCTCTCCCAGACCTGGACCGTCCCTCCGGGACCCGCCGGGGGATGGGTGGTGACGGTGCAGGCATCAACGCTGGGCCCACACTTCCCAGGGGCCCGGGACCCAGCTCTCTGCCTCCGGAAACTTCTTGCATCAGAAAACATGACGCTTGCCCAGGGGACACTGGGCTGGAGTCAGGGCTAGAAGTGCCTGATTATTTCACAAATGTTTTGTATCAGTGAAACCAGTGATTTCTGATGCCCACCTAATTCTAGCATCTCCGTCACCCATCGTCAATGGCAGCACCATACGTATGACTCCAGGGCTTCCCTGGTGCCTCCGGCTCTGTGCCAACCCATCTTTCTAGAAGTGTGTTCTGCCAACTTACGTGGCTGCCCCCATGAGCCGTGAGTGCCCACATGTGGAGAGCAGAAAGAGAGGCGAAGAGAGAGAGCGCTGGAGAGAGAGAGAGAGAGAGAGAGAGAGAGAGAGAGAGAGAGAGAGATGGGTGAGGGGAAAAGAGGAGGAAGGGGTGAGGTGAGGAGAAGATGACTAACAACAGAGACACTGAGGGCCAGGGAGCATCAGAGGGGCCCTGGTTCACTTGTCTCCCCCTCTGAACTCCAGCGCATTCTGCTCTTAGCTCGAGCTCCTAGGAGTTCAGTTCTGTCCTTGTGGCCCAAGGGTCCCCACCAACATATGGGGGTGCCCACCTCCAAGGGGCCACGGAGGCCTGAAGCGCCACCGCATGTGGGCAGCAGCCCTTGGTCCCTGGGCAGGCCTTCGGCACATGCTGGCTTTCATCATTGTGCTTCAATATTTGATGTTTGGCACCGATTCCATTTGGTTGTGAAATCACTCACCAGCCCACGTCCTCAGTGATGCTCTGGGCTCTGGTTCTAAGCCCCTTTGGAGATACTGGCCCAGATGTGACTCCCTGGTCTGAAGGTTCGCATGCAGAGCCCGGCCCGCCTTCTCTAGCTCCGACTCTGCTCCGGCGGCTTTGCCAGGAGGGTGTTCTCTCTCCCACAGAAAAGGGGCCAACACGCAGTCTGCAAACCTGCGTCAGCCCTGCACGCTGACCACAGCTGAGCCCACGCTCACATTGCTCTCACCCTCCGAGACGTTTGCAGCAGGGCTCGCAGCACGTTAATGTCACCCTTAGCTAGGTGTCTCCCAGATTCTGAACTGGGATTGGCAGATGCCACACGGTCATTCGTCTCTTCTGATATGACCCTTTCTCAGCACATATCCCAGTGGTGGGATCACACACACACACACACACACACACACACACACACACACACTGATGAGGACATGTGGTTTATAACAGGGACATGATTACCCTAAATAAATGCACTGACAAACAGAACCCAATGCATCGGGGGCAAGCAAAGCTCATCTCAGGAATGCAAGGATGAATCAACAATATAAAATCTGTGGGTACAGTTCGCTACATTAAGAGATTAAAGAGAGGAAAATCCCTGATCATCTCGAAAGACAGCCAGTCCCCCCAAAAGCACCTGTAACATATAATACTTACTACTGAGTTTGAAGCACACCCACCAGACCTTCAGGAAGCTCAGAATGGTAGGAAAATTCCTCAGCCTCCAACGAGCATTGCACTTCATACATTAGAAGAGGGGTCAGCAAACTTCTGCAAAGGGTCAGATAGCAAATATTTTAGTTTTTCCGGCCATATGGTCTCTGTCCCAACTACTTAACACTGATGCCACAGTATGAAAGCAGCCAATCAGAAAACATGTAAACGAACAGGCCTGGCTGCCTGCCAATAAAACTTTATTTACAAAGAGAGACCACTGTGGGCAGGGTTTGGCTCCCAGCCATGGTTTGCTGACCCCTGCATTAGAGCCATTCACATTATAGTCAGAAACAAGAGAAAGATGCCTGATTTTATATTTGAATCCTAGCGCATGTAATAATACAAGGAAATATATGTGAAGTACAAATACTGTAAAGGCAGAGGTAAAAATACAATCATTTGTATAATTATATGACTATTTGTCTAGGAAATCTAAAATAATCAACTGGCACACCATTTGAATTAAAAGCGGCCAATTCTAGGGTCAACACACAAATATAATAGCACTTATTAAAGCAGCAATATCTTATATAATAAAAGCCTAATATGCTAAGTGTCTGGCTGACCGGTCAGCCGTTCAACCAATCAAAGTGTGATATGCTAATGATATGCTAAGGTCGCTCAATGGCTTGCTATCACGAGCACTGACCACCAGGGAGCAGATAGTCGACCAGTAGGTTAGCTTGCTGCTGGGGTCTGGCAGATTGGGACTGAACAAGACAGGCTGGACATGCCCTGGAGCTTTTTTGTGGTCCCTCCCCGGCTGGCCAACCTTCCACATCCCTCCCTGGCCCCGATCATGCACCGGTAGGGTCCTTCGGCCTGGCCTGCACCTTCTCGCAATCTGGGACCCCTCAGGGGATGTCGGAGAGCCAGTTTCAGCCCGATCCTGCTGGCCAGGCTGAGGGGCCCCACTGGTGCACGAATTTGTGCACTGGGCCTCTAGTATAATGTTTCATAAGCAAAAGTGCCCCATTCATGACAGCAGTAGACCCCAGAAATAAATGACTGTGACATAAAAGAAAACTTTGCTGAAGTTTAAATAAGTCCAGATACAGACCCACCTGGGAGCCAGACCAGATCACATCGACGTTAGCTTCCCAAGTGTGCCCACATACTCAGTGCAATCCTGATAAAATTCCCAACAGGACTGGCTACAGGCAATGGATTCTAAACTTTATATGGAGAAGAAAGTGTGCAAGCTCAGCTGAGAAATGCTTTTAAAAGGACGTGGAGAAGGGATTTGCTGTAAAGCCATCATAACCAATGCACCGCTGTTGCGCAGAAATTGACAAAGAGGTGTGAGGGTCAGGACTGGAACACCAGAGACGGCACCATATATTTGAGGGAACTTAATTTATGATGAAAGTAGCAACTCCTATCCGTGGAGAAAGGATACCCTTTTCAATAAATGATGATGTGACAACTGGCTGTGCATTTGAAAAAGAACACATTCCACCCACCAACACACACTCTCCCTTCCACGCAGCGGCAGCTCCTCTCCCAGCCCCAGAGTCAGGCAGGCTGCTCCCCACTCACAGGCGAGGACAGAGCCCCCAGCCACGCCTGCTGGGGGAGCTGCAACTCAGCTACAATGTATTTGGCTGTGGAGAATCTGGATAAAGGACCCTCCACCCCTTTCTGGGTCCTCATGGGCTGGATCTAAACGTACCCCCTCTAAGCCCCCCGGAGGTCCATCCTCTGCAGTTTTGGAGACTCCTCTGGAAGAATTTGCATTCCTGGCCAGATACAGACCCCAGAGCAAAGAGGGCAGGGGTCGTGTGGAGCCGTTACCCGCTTGAGGTCTCCTTTTGAATCAGCCCTGGTCCCTGAACATCATTCCAAGAAGGGACATCCCCCGCCCCCACCCCATCTGTTTGTGGTTCTGTTGATGCTATCATCAGAGAGGGCTGAGCTGAGTCCTTGAAACCGGCTCTCCAAACATAAACAAACAGCCTGTTTAATGAAACAAAGTGCGCACTCTTTGACATTTTCGCGTTGATCTCAGATTCTCAGCCCATCCTCCTCTCCTCCCTGCCCGCCCCAGCCCCCATCCCCACCTCAAGCGTTGTGACTGCTCATCAGGTCTCCCTAAGGATGGATGCCCTCTCCCTCTGCTCCTCTGCCGCTCCCTCCCCCCACCCCAGGGTCACCTCCAGGTCGACTGGAAGGTGTTGGTGAATGTGGCTGCAACCTAGGGACAGCTGAGCAGCAGGAGCAATGGGCTCCCCTGGGAACAAGGTCTGCTCCCCACTCTGAAGAGGACCCCCCCCAACACACACACCCCCAGCTCTGCAGGTGTTTGTCCTAAGACAAAGCCATCCCTACTGTGGGATCCCAGCTTCCAGAAGAATCTCTGTGTCTCTTCAGAGACTCCTGGGCTCAGTTTTTCCCATGTCTCTCCCACCCCGAGCACCGGAACTTCTGAGACCGGTGGGGATAGATGAGATCCCAGAGCCCATCACCGGCTTTAAAAGGGGTGGCCCCACAACTCACCGACCGCAGCTGCCTGGACCCCAGGCCAAATGGGTGAGGGTCCCGCTGCTCCTCTTTGGGGGAACTGGGCCAGGATGGGGAGAAGCAGACGGAGTTCCCAGGGCAGGAAAGACACAGGCCCAGGTCTGAGACCCCCAGCTCCCTAGGCTAGTCTGGGGGTTCCTCCTCCTTCCCCAGCCCAGGGCCTCGGGAAGGGCTCTTCCGCCCTCTCGTGGCCAAGTGGCTGCTGCAGGCGTTTCTGCACACCCAGTTATTACCAGTAAACCTCAGCCATCAGACTGGGGTGCAGAAGGAAGCTAGTTCCAGTTATTTGTATCAAGGTTTCTTTTTTCTCCTAACGAAAGACGCGTGAAACCTCTCCCCTAGTAAGGACCACACTCCAGGGGTCTATTAGCAGAGGCGGAAGAGGAGAGGAGAGGGGAGAAGGGGGAGGCACCCCTCCCTGGCGTGACGACCTAGGGGTGGGGGTACCCGGCGTGGAGAGCCCTGAGTCTTTCTCCGGGAGGTGTTCCCGGAAGAAACTGGTGGAAGGGCCGCAGAAGGCTCCTCGCCTCCAGGGGAAGTCACCATGCGGGGCCCGGGGTGTGGAGCAAGGCCGGGCAGTGCCCACGCTCCGCCTCACCGGCCAGCGAGGGCGCAGAGCTGAGGCCGAGATCCCCGCAGCCCGCAGAGACCACGTTCGCGCTCCCGAAGCGCTGCCCCGCCCCGTCCCGCGCTGTCCCCCGATCTCCCGCGCTGACCCCCGATTTCCCGCGCTGACCCCCGCTGCCTCCCGGCTCGAGGCCCGGAACTCCGCCGCGGGACCCGGCTGCCGCGCGCTTAAGACCCAGGAGACTTCCGGGCTCGGGAGGATGCACCACACACGTGCGGGGCGTTGCCGTGGTTACAGATGACGCGCTCCGGGGACTAGTGGGCGGGCGCTTCCTGGGCGGGACTTGGCCGCCGGAAGTGCGTGGCCGTCCGAGGCCATGGCGGCGCTTGACGTCGTCCGTGTGCTGCTCGGGGCAGCGGCCGGCCCGTTCGCCAGCGCCTCGAGCGAGGAGTTCTGGGTCAGCCAGTCGCCGGCCCACCTGGTGTCGGACAGGGCGAGATTCAGACGGTAAACGCGTGGCCGGGTGTCGGCGTGGCTCCCTGGTGGCGGCGGGCGCGGGGCGGGGAGGGGACGCGAGCCGGGGTGGCCCGAGGCGGATGCGACCCCGGAGACGCCTGGAGGGCTGGCTGTGCTCAGCGTGGAGGGCAGGCTCGGGACCTGTGAGCTGATGCGGGTTCCTGCCCGAGTTTCCTGGAGCCCCAGACTCGGAGGTTCGAACGGGACGGTTCTAGGAAGCGCAGCTTTGTTTATGTGCGCGGGGCCTTCAGTCTCCATCCAGATGCTGATGTTCACGTCTCGGGCCTGAGAAATGAGGGTCCGTGCAGGTCATCTTCGAACCAAGTAGACCTGTGCGGGGTGAGAGGCGCAGAGGTGGCAGATGGGCCAAGCCCTGGGCGACGCACAGTCCGTCCGTCTGTAGTGACGGGACTGTGGGAACACAACGTGGAGAAGGGGGATGAGGATGAGGAACTGTTGCCTTAGACACGCAGGGCCCGGGCCTTCGTAGCAGATGGGGTGGCTTTGGAGAGGGCAGCGGTTCTCAGAGTGTGTCCAGGGACCCCTGGACATACCATTTCTGTAGTAATACCGGAGTGGGGGAATTTGCCTTTTCACTCTCTTTCTCCCCCCCCCCACCCCCACTCCAGACCACCTGTAATATCACAACACATTGAATGCAGCAGCAGATGGAAAAATTTACAAACATTGCCACTCTTCTCACCAATTATTTTTGTTTTGAAAAAATATATACTTACTTTTTATTGGAAAAGGTTAATAATATGTATTGGATGTATTACTTTGAAGTGAATTGATGCATGCTTTTTAACGTTCTTGCATTCACTTTTAATGCAGGAATTATTTATAGATTCAACCCACGGCCCTGCCTTGTGCTCTGAACCCCTCCTGGAACAAGTGCTGAGACTTGTGGGTTCCTCTGCAGAACCACGAGGACCACTCGCGTCCAAGGTCAGAACCAGCAGCGAGGCCCCTTCACTTCAGGGGTTGGTGGGCCACGTAGCATGTCCCATGGTATCCCCCCACTGAGCAGCCACAAGGAGGCAGAGGTGCCCAGAGAGAAGTAAAGACCTGAGGGAGTGATAAAATGGTGCAGAGTCCTGCAGCCCCATCCCAGCAGCTCCAGTGTCTGATCCTGACCCCTGGGCACATTTCTTTAATCAGTAACTGGAGGGTCCTGAGGTGTAAACTGGGGAGAAAGGTTAATACATGACAGAGGACCAGATGGTGGCTTTTGAAATTGTCTTTATTTCTGATCATTCATTACAACCATCCACCCCAGGATTAACTCCCACACAGGCACCTCGAGCCCAAATCCTGCCTCCCTCCCCACGCAAATCAGATTCATGTTTCTGATTGTAGGACACTTTGCCTTTGAGGTCCCATGAACTCCCCAGCCTTTGTCCCTGCAATCCTGTACCCGGGCTGGGTCCGTCCCTTTCCCCATTCACACTGAGCATGAACCTGAAACGTGGGTGCCCCCTGCATAATGCACCCCGGTCCGAGGTTTCAGCTTCCAAAGGCCCAGAAAGGAGCCTTTGCTGGGTACACCCAGTGAACAGGGTCACTACAGGGGCACATCACGGGCTCCATGTCATGAAAATGCCACGTCATAAAACTCACTGTAGTGCTTGGTGGCAAGCAGGATGCTCCTGGGCTGTCCTAACTCCCTGTGTCCCTGTCAGCTCAGCCCGGATCAGGGCAAGTCTCTCCTGGTTGACGGTCCCCTGGGTCCCGTAACACTCCAGGGGGACAGAGTACAGCTCAAGCTCTAAACTGCACAGCCCGACATCCCCAGTAGGGGGTGTGCAGGAGGCAGCTGATCAATGTTTCTCTCTCATGGATGTTTCTAACTCTCTATCCCTTTCCCTTCCTCTCTGTAAAAAAATCAATAAAATATATTTTAATAAAAATAAATAAATAAAATAAACTGCGCAGCCCGGCTGTGTGGCGCAGCAGCTTCTCCACTGTGGCCACGGGGAAGTTGTTCTCAGGGATGGTGAAGTCCCTGAGCTGGTGGCAGCGGCTCAAGACAGGCAGGATGGCCTCGACTTGGGAGTCCGCCATCCCACAGTTATCCAGGCCCAGGCCCTGGAGGGTGGGTGCCACTGCCTCCAGCAGAGCTTGGAGGGGCTCGGGACTAAAATCCAAGAGGCTGGCTCCATACAGACGCAGGGACTTCAGCTGCCTGAGGTGCAGGCTCTGGAACAGGTGTGTCAGGTCTAAATGTGTCAGCCGCTGGCAATTCGCTGTGGAGAGTTTGCCCAAGGGGGTCTGCAGGCACCTGGGGAGAGATGAAGCGGTTAGTGCCTGGGGACGGGGGCGACAGGTAGAGGGGGGCCAGCAGGTGGGAGAAGACCGATTTCTCCAACCCCAGGGCAGTCCTGACAATCTGGTGAAGGCCAGCACCCTGGAAGCCCAGTCTCCTTTTAGGCTGGGTCAGGTTCACGACATCTCCAGAGCCTCCTTTCCTCAGCTGCCAAGCAGAGCACTGCTCTCTGGAGGGGGACTGGACATAAGGGAAACCCCAGGAACCTGCTCAGAGAGCCTCACGGTGTCTAGGTCAAGGCTGGGCATCCCTCAACCTTTATATTGGGAGAGAAAAACCAAGAATGCTCTCAACACAGGCTTCCTTCTGGCCACTGCTTGGCTCCAGACACCTGATATCTGAGCCACATGAGGCTCATTCATCTGATGCATAAGGAACATACCTGGCACTAATAGGTTTGACTCAATGGATAAGGCGTTGACCTTTGGATGGAAGTGTCTCAGGTTTGATTACCACTCAAGCACATGCACCTAATTGACAGGCTCAATCCCTGGCCTTGGCTGGGGCATGTGCAGGGGGCAACCAATCCATATGTCACTCTCACATAGATTTTTCTCTTTTCTCCTCCCTCCAACTGTCTAAAAATGAAAAGAAAAAAATATCTTCAGGTGAGGATTTGACAGAGAGAGAGAGAGAGACAGACACCAAACCTAAGCAAAATCCTACAACGTCAACTGGGGGACCAGCCTGCAGAGGCGACTTACATCCCTGCATCACCTCAACCACCTCCCACTCTTTGCAATCCTTTCCCTCCCGCTCCCTTAGCTGTGGAATCCTGCCTTTCCTTTCTACTAATGACCTTTCTGGAGCCCAGGACCACCTCTGACAGACGGGGAAGCTGAGACAGGCTCACGTGTGTTCACATGGCCGGTGGGCACAGAGCTTCTGTCTGGAAATGCTCCATGCGATGTGGCTTTTCTTCCTCCCTCCCTCTTCCTAAGTCCTGGACACTTAGACATCTCTCCCTAAGGAAGCACTCACAGACCCAGGCTCACAGGGTCACTCATTGAGCCAGTTCTGCTACCCCTCCTGACAGGCAGATTTTAAAACATCCTTCTCTAAGGTGCTCACAGGATAACACCATTCAAAGCAGAAAACAAGACCACTCCCTTGACATCTGGGGCTGCGTCCACTGTTACACAGCTCACCTGGGCATCTGGTCCAGACGGCCTTGGAGGAAGGAGGGAGAATACATGTTGAGGTCCTGGAGGTGCCGCAGCCTGAGCATCTGAGACAGGAATTGGGAAAAGGATCACTGCTCCTGCTGTTTCCTGTCCCAATCTTCCTCCTCCCACTCCTGCTCCTCTTCCTCCCCTATCTCTTCCTCTTTTTCCTCCTCCTCCTCTGTCAACACGTGGATGTGGGAGAGAGAGAGTCTCTGCAGGTTACTCATCTGACCCAGGTAAAGAGCAAACGTCCCCAGAGTGGGCAGGTCCCAGGTGCAGTTCACTTCCACCTCCTGAATGCAGTCCAGCCTCACCCCATCCAGGACCCTCCTGGCCCTCTGGAAGGGCACCTCAGAAATCCTCAGCGCCTTGCAGCACAGGTGTACCAACCCTTCCCTCTGCTGGGCCCACTGGATGATGAACTTGAGAAACTCATCCCCGTCCCTTTCATTGAAGTTAAGGTCTAGGAACACCTCCAAGGGAGCCAAGGGGTGCTCCATGTTGGGGCTGGAGCTGTGCACAGCCACTGGTTCTGTCCGCAAGCACTTACAGGTGCTGTCTCCACACCACATTCTCCAATAGTTGGCACCCGTGTTCCTTAAATCCAGCACCCGCAGTTTGCACCTCCTGTGGGAAAAGCAGGACATTAGCTGAGATTCTTCCAGGTCAACAGGGCATTGGCTGAGATGCTTTATGGACTGTGTGTCTCAGTGGTTGAGCATCTACCTATGAACCAGGAGGTCACAGTTCAATCCCCAGACAGGGTACATGCCTGGTTTGCAGGTTCAATGCCCAGTGCATGCGTGTGTGTGTGTGTGTGTGTGTGTGTGTGCAGGAGGCAGCTGATCAATGACTCTCTCATCATTGATTTTTATATCTCTATCTCTCCCTCTCTGAAATCAATAAAAAAAAAGTGTTTTTAAAATGATTAGTAGAAGGAGGGCAGGTCAGAATGAGACTGAGCATCTGAGTTGAGGCACCAGTCAGACTCCACCCCCACCCTGAGCTTCTCCTCTGAATCCCAGGAGCAGCTTCTCCCTCGCCCTCCTCCTCCCTCTGCTTTCCTTTTCTCATCTCCTTCCCTTCCATCCCTCCTGCTCAGCACTCGAGTACCTTGGGTACCACTGGGAGGAGGCAGGGCAGGTTTTGCAGGTGGCCCTGCCCAGTAGGCAGTCCTCCACTTCCCACCGTGAGCTTTGTAGTGTGCAAGGGCTCCCTGAGCCCCACTGGCACTGTCAGAAACAAGGGTCCACCCTTAGGCCCTCCACATGCCCTGACCCACCCTGTCTCTGGGATGCCAGGACCCTACCAGGCACCTGGAGCAGCCTTACCTGGGGCGATCCTTTTGGGCAAGCAGACCGTCAAGCCCCTCCAACACCGCTTTTAAGACCATGACTGGAGGCAGCCTCATCAAGCTCCGCAGAGGGAGGACAGGGAAGGGCCAGGCTTGCACCAAAACCTTCAGGGGCTTCCACATTCTCCTCCGGCAGGCCTGAATGAACAGTAGTTGGAAGAACTCAGCAGGCAGGTACCCCAGAGCTGCGATGGCCGAGGCCTGATCCCTCAGCAGGCTTCTTCCTGCCAGCCTCAGGAGTGTGGGTGCGGTCCGGATGCTCATCTTCAAGGTGCTCAGAAAAAATCCTGCAGAAACGTCTAGGGAACAAGGCATCCTTGTCAGGCCAAGCATTTGAGCCCCATCAACTCACTCCCCATCCATCAGAGGAATCAACTCGGGGCCAAGCCACTGCCTGGCACAGGTGAGAGCCTCAGGTTAGTGAGTGCCATTCTGGGCTCGGTGACCGCAGAGCCATAGCTCGCCCCTGCAGGCCCCAGGACAAGCATCTCAGAAGCACCCACATCTTTCCTTCCTGTCTGACTGGGAAGTGGTTCCTCAGAAACATGAAAGCTGACCCCCACCTTTTTGGGGGAAGAGTTTCAGACCGATCTAGGGACACGAACTGAATATTTAAAATTTCCAGAAATAAAACCACAGTTAAGATGTTTTCATTAGCAAGTGGGGGTTGGTCAGGGAATCAGCTTGGTTAGACATTTAAAAATAGACCAAAGCACAAATCCAAATGTTTGAAATTCAGGCAAAATTACACTTAGAGGCAAAATCAATGCTTTCAATCTATTTGTCTGTAAAAAAATAAATAAATAGGAAAGCTCCTTGTGCCAAGTCAAGTTCTTGGCACCGTGAGTTCAGGAGAACTCACCTGCTGTGACCGGGACGGCTGGGGCTCAGATCTCAGACCTGGTGGAGAACCGGCTGGGGCTCAGATCTCAGACCTGGTGGAGAACCGGCTGGGGCTCAGATCTCAGACCTGGTGGAGAACCGGGGCACTGACTGCAGAGCTGGAGGACTCGGAATCTCTCCTCTGGTGCCTGAGGTTTTTATACAGCTTCTCAAATGCTACCATCCAACCAGAACCCTCAGTCTCCACCCCTTTATTCTAAAAAGATTATTGCCTCTACAGATAAATAGATTGAAAGTTAGGGAGGGGCAAGGTTGAAGCCTGGCTCATGGATTCCTTTCACAGACACTGACTGAGGTTGACTGATGGCCCATTGTTTGGAGACACAGAAGGGTGTAATGGGTTCCTGACGTTAGAAAGGAAAGAACACAACCTGAGAGCGGGGTTGCTGGGGGTGTTTGGCCACATCAAAACTATCAGAACATTACAGTTAAAACAGCCTTGAGAAGACAAGGGGGCCATCCTCTAAGAAAACAAACAATATGTGTCCATGCAGCACGTTAGGTTTTATGTCAGGTGACATAGCAGGCATGAGCTACTCAGGGAGCAAGGCGAAGGCGATTGAGGATGTGGCTGTCCCTCCAGGCCACCAGGTTTCTCTGAGGGAGGTGAGACGAGGAGCATCATGAGAAGCAGTGGTCAGCCATCCTAATGGAACCCTGTGAATGACCCAGGGCCATGAACATGATGGGTGTTTTTTCCTGGAGAGAAGAGAGATGGAAACACTCTTCTCTGGGTGAATTTAGGATTTAAAAGGAAACAGGCTGCAGTAGAGACAGTGCCATCCTAGAGGGCAAAGGGAGAGATTGCATCTTCTGTCCCTCCCAGGATGAAAAGGGTGGGTCTCCTCTGGGAAAGATGGGATTAGCTCAGCAACTGGGTGGAGAAGATTAAATCTAAGAATGTGAGCAGAGAGAAAGAGAGCAGACCTGTGAGTCAGACATTTTCATGCCTGAAAGGAACTGAAGGCAGATGCATGGGCTCTTTGGCATCCTGGAGCCAGGGAGTGAAATAAACATGGGCCAATCACACGTATCCCTGTCACATCATGGCAGCTGCCACCAGGCGACGTTTTTCTGAGGATCGAGGTTCTTCCACAGAGAACCCTTCCCAGATAGCAAGTGCCTTCCCTCACCACACCGTGTCTCCATGGCCCCATTCCTGCCCTCATGGCACCCCTTCACTTCACCACACCCCTAATGATCTCCGTTATGACCACCAGCCTCCAAAGGCCCCACTTCAGTAAGCCTGTCCCCAATATCACTGTGTTCTGTATTTGTCTGACACCCTAGTGGTCTGCTGGACCAGAGGCTCTTTGAAGCCAAGGAGAACTCATGGCTCCTTAGATGTCTGTGGAATGAATGGGTGGTTCTTGGCGGTGAGGAAGCCAGAGGGGCCAGCCCACTGCTGCCATGTGGAGCTCTTGGCCTGCACAGCCTTCCTCTAGGCCCCCATTCTTCTCCTGTCGGTCACTCACCCCACAGACACCCTGAGCACCCAGTGTGTGTGCCAGGCTCTGACTCTGGGGAACTCTGAGTCACGTAGAGAAGACAGCGCCACTGAACAGACTCTGGAGTGAGGAGAGAGACTGCTGTGAGTGCTGACGCCTGTAGCTGAGCTCTCCTGGAAACGGACAGCACCAACCCAGGCTGCCTCTACTAGGAATCTTGGAGTTTGTCTGCAAAACAAAATCACCGCCAACCACACACGTGTGGGCCCATGAACCAAATGCACAGTAGACCCAGATGTGTCCAGTGAGTCCTGAGCTGGGCTTCTACTGGCATTTCCTGGAAGGGAGAGGCAGTTTTGCACAAGGGCTGAGCAGGCATGCCCAGGGCACTGTACTTGGGTTCACGGGCTAGTCACCCCCAGTCCTGTTCCTCCTCTATATGCAGGCATGACAGTTAGAACCCACCTCGGGCACCTGTTGTGGATGGTGGTGCTAACAGTGGAGATCTTCCCAGAGAGGCCTGTTCTAGCTCTTAGACATTATTTTTTCTTGCATTTTTATTTTATTTTATTTTATTTTATTTTATTCTACCTTTTTTTGTTGTTGGTGCTAATCCTCACTGGAGGATATATTTTCCATTGATATTTCGAGAGAGTAGAAAGGAGGGGAAGGGACAGAGAGAAACATCCATGTGAAAGAGACACATCAATTGCTTGCCTCCCCCAAGCACTCGGACCAGGGCCAGGTATCTTGCCCACAACCAGTACATGCCCTTGACTGAAATGGAACCCGGAACCTTGAGTCCACAGGCTGGCACTCCATCCACTGAGCCAAACTGGCTCCGGCTTGATAATTTGCTAGAATGTGGTAGCAAGTGACAAAAATGAAAGAAAAAAGTTCATAGAATAGTTCTTTTCATTTTCCTGCAAAGCAGAAGAGTCAACTGTTATTTGTTGTTTGCTGGTTTTAGTGGCAGAACATGTGAGACGGGAAACTTGTGGCAGGTTCTGGAGGATGAGAGGCAGGAGCTGGTTCCCCTCTGACGCTGGGGGAGCTGAGGCAGCTCAGGGCCCTCTGTCAGGACGGGAGAAGCTGAGCTCTGGGGAGAATATGGGTCTTTAGGCATCAGAGTGGTTGGAGTCTGGGGACAGAGGTCCACCTTGGCAGGGCTTTTAGAAAAGTGAATAAAGAGGAAAGGAGTCGGGCTCTGTAATAAATCTACCTGCATCCTGGCTGGTGTTGCTCAGTGGCTGAGTGTCCTACCAGGCACTGGGAGGTTGCTGGTTCAATTCTCCATCAAAGCACATGCCAAGGTTGGGGGTTGATCTCCAGTATAGAACCTGCAGGAGACGGCCCATCGATGATTCTCTCTCATCACTTGCAGGAAACCAATTCCAGCATGACAGCAGGGCTGCATCTGGGAATGGCTGAGGGCATTTCCCCAAACCTGAAAAGGGATTATTGCTTGGCTGCCAGACAGTCAGGGCATCTTAATCTACATGTTATTGCCTCCTACTGGCCAAACACCTGAACAGCCGTTGGCTAATTCCCCATTCTGACAATGCTTGTGTATACCTTTGAAGAGTATATCTCTGCCTCCTCTCAGGACAAATTGTGTTAATAAAAAGCATGGGGTCCTGGACGAGGAGACCTTAGACCTTAGAATTTAGACCTTACATCTTAGAACTTAGTTTCCTTTAAACTAAGCTCCGCTGACCCCCAAATGCCTTTCAAAATTATACTTTGTCTCTGGACTCTTTATTAATCTACGCACAGCCTTCTCCAGATTTCCTGAACCCTTTGTAATGCTGGAACAAGAACCCCGGCATTAATCACTGATGCTTCCATCTCTCTCCCTCTCTCCCTTAATCTCTGAACTCAATAAAAATATTTATTTTAAAAAGAGTCCTGTCCAGACTCCTGTACTGGGCACACCTGTGCCCAACTGCTGTGAGTGTAGATTGCTAATGGCCCCCGGCTCCCCCATCTTGTAAGGATTCACTCCCATGGAACTTAAGCCCCTAGTCAGCCCTGCCCCAGGCATCCCGTAAAACCAGCCGCCTGGCCTCCAGCGGCACCCACTCTCTGGTTCCCTCCACACCTGAGTCTCCTGTGGGGTCAGGGGGAAGCTGGGACCACATCCTGGCTTGGCTCCTCCCCCTGCCACCTCTGCGTTTCTCTGGCTGTTCTCCTGAGAGCCCCCCTCACCCCACCCCATCAATCCTGTGAGCCTGCATCCCCGTGTCAGGCTCTCCTTGGGGAACTGAGCTAACACACCTGGACATGCAGGTGCCCAGGGGAGAGCCACACTGACCCACACAGATACAACTGCTCATTATCTTCACAGAAAGGGCTTTGCATTTGGGAGCAGGCAGTCCGATGATGAACATCTAGGACGTTTGTCACCACATGGGACTATGTGACCTTTCTCCCAAGTCAGCTCTGCCACGGGGATGCCATCTCAGTGGATCGGGATCGGATATTCCCGAGGACAGTGTCGGGGAGGTGAAGAAGGGCAGCCGGACAGGGATCACATCATTTGGGGAGGAGATTCAGCAGTGGAATGAGAACCCTCAAAGGTCCTCAGTCCACTATAGCTCCTTGGAAATTTCCATAGTGTCATTGCTTACATGATACCTGTGTCATAACTCAGGAAAATTCTGGCGGGACCTTGTCACTTCCCTAGAGGTGTTTGGTGAAGGTTAAATCTAATCAGTTCAGAGATTAGTCATTCAAGGGCTGATCCAGAAGCCGACAGCAAATATCATAGTCACGGTGCAGAGACAGGAGCACCATAGGCTGTGTGCTCTAGGCCTGTGAACTTTGCTATTTAATTACCAAGAGAGGCTCATCCCAGGAACGCAAGCTTGGGTTAATGGTTGAAAATCAATCCATACAATTAAGCATATCAAG